AACGAGCTCACAGAAGTGACCGGACGCTGGACCGGACGCTGGTAGCACAGTGACCGGACGCCCCGATCAAGAGGCTCGATAGCAGCAGTGACCGGACGCTGGACCGGATGCTGGCGGCAGATCGACCGGACGTAGGACAACAGAGTCCGGTCGAGTACAGAGAGGTTCTAGAGCGGCGAAAATACGACCGGACGCTGGCAGCGTCCGATCAGTGGATCGCGGCTTCAACGGTCGGGATGACCGGACGTGTCCGATCAGGACGACTTGAGCGTCCGGTCAGTAGCAGAAAAGCGGGATTTCGTCCCCAACGGCTACTTTCTCAGTGGGGCGTATAAATACAAACCCCAACCGGCCAAATGAGATGAGTGGAGCTGAGGAAACATATCAAGGGTGTTGATACACCATTTTAGTGATCTTCACTTGCATAGTGCTTAGTGATTCATTAGATGATTAGCGTAGGTGCTTTGCGAAGTCCTTAGGTTGATTAGACCACCGCTTATGCGCTTGCTCTAGGTTTAGGCTTAGTGTTTAGTGAGGTTTGTATACCTCTTACCCCTCGGTGCTTGCGCGCACCATTATTGTACATCGGAGGGGCTTATAGTCTTGCGAGATCACACCAACCACGGTTGTGGTGTGGCCACCACCGTGTACCGGAGGGAACAAGGCCCGCGGCGTTTCGGCCGGAAGCTTGATAGTGAAGATGGCGGGGAGCATCCGAGAGAGGCTTGCCGGAAGGCACGTCGGAGACCCACTTACGCGTGGGGAAGGCCCGAGGCTATCCATGGAGTTACCCGACCAGGAGCTTGGCCCTTATGAGGGATTCCTTGCGAGGGGCTCCAACGATGACTAGGGGAAAGTTTGAGCGCTTTTCGATACCTCGGTAAAAATACCGGAGTCATCGACGGGAGTTTGCATATCTCTACCTTGCTCCTTAGCTTCCGCATTTACATTAATTGTATTACTCCTTTTGTGGTAGAGATAGCAACACACTAGCAAAATCGTAGTTGCACATTTAGATAGTTTATCTTTGCATAGATTTTGCTAAGGTTAGAAAAAGATGTCATAGTTTAGAGTTAGAATTTTAAGTTGCCTAATTTACCCCCCTCTCTTAGTCGTCACGGTCCCTTACAACCTATTAGCGTGTGAACCTCTAAGTGAGTGAATCACCATAACAGGGACTAGTTTGCCGAGCGAGCAAGTGAACATCGGAGAAAAAATTAATTGTGTCATCATTATCTCCTTGGTATTCTCGGTATGTATTGTGATTGATCACTTGCCACGGCGGTATATCATCCCTACCTCTCTTGCATTATTTTCCTAGTATAGCTAAGCTCTTTAGTGTAATTAGTTTTGAGAGCTAGCTTGTGTTTTGTTAGTGGTTAGTGAGGCTCTTTAGTTAGTCTTTGAGAGCTCACTAACTTAGAGATAGTGACTTAGCTCTTTGTGTGTGACAAAAATTATAACTACTAGAATTATGATATGTGGCTTGTATTTTTAGTAGGCTAACGTAAAACTTGCTTCGTCTCATATTTGTCTAACATTTTAGCTTAGTGTTGTTGTAGATTTTTTTAATAGGCTATTCAACTCCCTTTAGCCATTAGGACCTTTCACCCTATGATGGAGAAGATGAGCGACGCTAGTTTTTTTTTTGGAGGAGCCGTGAAGAACTGAAGCGGAACACAAAGCGGAGTGGGACGAACGGCGCCACGGGCAGGAGCGAGCCACGGGAAAAGATGGCAACGAAACGAGTGTGTGGGCGTGCGGCGTCTGGATAAGGACGGACGCCCATGTTAGAATATTATCGATAAACTATATATTATAATAAAAATTATGGATCAAAATATATTCTTAAAGACCACACAAAGTCAAATTATACCTTATATTCAAGAACGGAGGAAACAGTGAAGACAGCAGACGAGGTTTCTATCAACAATTAAATATTTATGATAACTTTTTTTGAACCACATAGTATAAATATTTATGATAACAGTGTGTATATATAGCATTCAACCTACAAACTTACAAAGGCACGCTCACACCTATCTCTGTGCGAAATCTTTGCTCGGAGCATTTCGCACAATTTAGCAATGATGTCCGTCGTTCAGCTCCGGCGGACTGATGCGACCCGGGCGTCGCGGCGCGGGTTAATGCGAGAGCGAGAGGCCGGCGAAGGGCGGGCGGGACAGGGCGGGGACAGCGTGGGACGCGGCACGGAGCACTCCAGGGCCCCGGCCGGCCACCCATGTCGCCCGTGCCCGCGGCAACCAGCGACACCCCCGCTGCCCCTGCGCGGGTGCTCTCCCTTTCCGCCCCCGTCGCTTGCCGCGGTGCCACTGTGCCAGCGTGGCGTACCCCGCACCCGACCGTGTCCACCGTGCTTCTCTTTAGCAGTTGGCAGTGGCACCGCTCCGCTCCGCTCACACGGTTTGCATTCCAGTACACAAGACTACGACGCGCGTATAAATTCCAGGACAGAAGATGCGCAATCAAATGCAGTTTGTGGTAGCTTTGGACTCAGCTCGAATATTTTTAAAATACAAATACGTAAAAGTTGGCCGCGCGAATTCGATACGTTCCTTTAGTTTGTGATTGTATGTACTATAGGTGAGTTTAATGGTTATTATGTATGTATATATATATATATATCCATAGTACTGGTACTAGTGCAAAAGATGCCGTAGATGAATTATACTACTTGATCATCTGCATAAATTAAAGATCCTATATATGCACAAGCACAATTTGAGTAGTATGGAACATCTAAGGATTGGTGAATGGCGAGGGAGACATTGAATCACCCAAAGTCCATACCAAAAGTTCTCTTTTCCTCCATGGTGCCAATGGACTAGCTACGCTCTATTCGTTTGGCTTATAAGGCGAACTTTTTCAGCCAACGAACAGTATTTTCTCTCACAACAAATCAGACAACAGTACTTTCAGCCATGGCTTATCAGCCAAGCGAACAGGACATAGCTAACTTATGTTTTAGTGGTTTGCGTACCTAGGTTTGGACAAATTCGTGGGGGTCAAGACAACAAGCTTTTGTGCTAGTGCTCCTTTTCGGTTTATATAAGTAACTCTTGGTGTTTTTTTGCTGAACTGCTTTGCTTTTTCATTTGTCTCTTCTATAAATCTTCTAATGTAGGATAAATTTCTACGTTGGTCGGGCTTTCCAAACTCCTCGCTACATGTTCTTTGCATCATCAGTTTCAGACCACAATCAAGCTCTGAGGCCTTCCCGAACACGCCATGCTGGATAAGAGTGCCCGCGTCCATGTCGGATTTGCGTCTCCATGTCACATTTGGTTGTGGCTCTGTAGAGGTTCAGATGAGCTTGTAGAGTGCTTGGTGTCTTCGCGAGGCAAAGACCGCGGACAGTCATCGAATTTCGCGTTGGACGTACCAAGCACCCAAAGACATGATATGGTAGGAAGTCTACAACTGGAGCAAAAGCAGAAGCAACTTTGTTCGGAGGTGAAAGCGGTGGAGTCATGTTGAATTGTATGTGTTGTCTTAGGTTTGGAGTTTTGGAAGCCTAGATGTTTAATGCCTATATATGGGCCGCAACTTTTCGGTGAAGCTAATAAGCTTGTTAGGGCCTCTTTGGCACGGCTTATGCTGGCTTCAGCTTCATCTATTTTACGCAAATCGAGGCACTGTAGCGTGAAGCCGTTTTGTAAGCCGGGGTTAAAATGAACTAGAAGCCGAAAAAAGCAGTTTTTCTGGCTTCACCGGCTTTGGCTTCACCGGTGAAGCCGTTTTGGATGAGCCGTGCCAAAAGGGCTTTAGCCTCCGCCCATGAAGCCCTACATCGTTTAATTCGAGCATCCGAAGCCATCTTTCTCAATTTCAATGAGTCCAGTGAGAGGATTGAGGGTTTTAGGAACTCCGGGGGGCACCCTTAGAGAGAGCTTTGGGACTACATGGTGTCAGAAGAATGATGAACATCTGATTAGCATACAGAGACATCAAAGTCATTGAGCTTTGATTGGTTAGTGTCAATAGCGAGGGTTGGCGCCAGGGGAGGCCATGTCCATCGGAGCCTGATGGAGACCAGCCAGTGGTCAGGGGGGGGGGAGCTCAACCGAACTTTGATGAAAAAATGCTAAGGGGTTGTATTGGCCATAGTGGAGGGCATCGACTATGCCTTACTTTTAGTAACATTTTTCATGCTAAATTCACATCTAGTTCTGATGGCACCATATGTTGGTGGCAACAAGACTCGTTGTCTAAGCAAGTTGTCTTCAACCTGTCATTTCCTTCCCTCACGCTTTCTGTTGCTAGTATGCAATCCGTCAACTGCCATACAGAGTAGTTTCATTGATGATATTTATTTGTTTCAAATTATAAGTCAGTTCTGCTTTTTCTAATATAACGTAAAAGCTACATAGTGTATACATAGATACATAGCAAAAAGTTGATAGCGGAGATGGTGGTTGTGATAATACTAAAGTATATATATATATATATATATATGCGTGTGTGTGTCTCTAAGATACTATTATAATACTGATTCCGTTTTTCCAAACGATGTATTGTGGATGTGAAGCACCATTCATTTCAGGTGTAAATATAATCTTTAGCCCACGCAAAGCAAGATTTAGCCGTTGATTCCTCCTTGATATAATAGGATGAAATTATTTGTAAGGATATGATATTACAGATCCGGCGATAGTAGTATTCCTTCCAGAACAGAAAACGTAAAAAATCATGGGAAAAATAGAAAACATGTGGGCACCTCGCTGCACGCTCCACCCTCCGTACCTCTCCTCCACTCCTGACCCTCCAACTCCAACGTTCCCTCCCTGGAAGGAAGTGGGCCGCCTCCCGATCTCCCCACACCGACAATGCTGCCGCGCCGCGCGCGGGCGCGCGGGCGCCGGCGCTGCTAGGATCCTCGCGCGACCCCGCGCCACGCCGGCGAGAACCCCGACCACCACCCGGAGGGGAGAGGGCGACCAATGCGCGAGCGCGCCCGGCACGCGACCCGGGTGTCACCGATGCCGCCGCCCGCGGGTGGCGAGGACCCCGAGGCCGACGCGGCGCCCTCCTGCAGCGGCAGCGGCTCTGCCGACGAAGCCGACCCGCACGAGCGGGCGCTCCCCAACGGCGACATCTACACGGGCCAGTGGCGCGGCGCCGTGCCCCACGGCGCCGGCAAGTACCTCTGGGCGGACGGCTGCATGTACGAGGGCGAGTGGCGCCGGGGCAAGGCCACCGGCCGCGGCAGGTTCTCCTGGCCCTCGGGCGCCACGTACGAGGGCGAGTTCCTCGACGGCTTCATGCACGGCGCCGGCACCTACGTGGGCGCCGCGGGGGACACCTACCGCGGCGTCTGGGCCAAGAACCTCGAGCACGGCGCCGGCGAGAAGCGCTACACCAACGGTGACCGCTACGACGGCGAGTGGCGCGCGGGGCTCCCCGACGGCTGCGGGCGCTACACCTGGCGCGACGGCACCGAGTACGCCGGCGGCTGGCGCGCGGGGCTCATCCACGGCCGCGGCGCGCTCGTCTGGGCCAATGGCAACCGCTACGATGGCGGCTGGGAGGGCGGCCGCCCCCGCGGGCAGGGCACCTTCCGCTGGGCCGACGGCAGCCTCTACGTTGGCTTCTGGGGCCGCGAGGCGCCCGGAGGCGCCGTCCATCAGAAGGGCGTCTACTACCCGTCCCCGGCGGCGACGGGCGACTCCCCCCGGGCGCGCGACCCGAGGGACGTGTTCGCACGGGACCTACCGGAGTGCGTGCGCTCCGGAACCGAGGCCCAATCAGCGCTCACGTCTCTGAGATCCCTCAAATGGCTGATGCGGTCGGTCAGCGGGCGCGGCAGCTCGTCGCCTGGCCGGAGCAATGGCTCGGGAGGCAGCCTCGTGCACTTCTGGGGGTCGGACGGGGAGGTCAAGTGCGACCTTGGGGACGACTGGAGACGGCGGAGCGTCAGAGAAGGGAGGGGGCTGCCACCACCGGCGCCCGCTCTGGCTCCACACCTCCCCATCCCCAACGGCGCGCCCCTGCGGCTGTCCAAGAGGCAGGGGATGACCATTGCCAGAGGGCACAAGAACTACGAGCTAATGCTCAATCTGCAGCTCGGGATCAGGTGCATTTCTTGGTCGTGATGATTATCAAATAGATTTTTCTGTGTTACCTAGTCGATGAGCTTGAAAATGGCCATTTTATATCTCACATAGTTCCAAAATATTCTGTGATGCGACATTGTTAATTAAGCCTTTAATACTAGCTATCTGTGACAATTTATATCAACTTTCTGGGAAAGCAATGATCCCCTTCTCTCTTAACAATTTCTGCGTATTAAAGCCTTAAATTTTGCCATCGTGCATTGAGAATCTGTGGATTTCCTAGAGCTGGTCACCTGTGGCTCTAGGAAATCCTGGATCTAGAGCTACAGACATGTTAGGGCATTTATATGACTCATTCGTTTATATTTTAGATTAAATAAAAATATTTAAATCACTTTAATTTAGTGTACAAACTACAGATCCAGCATAGATCTTCGAGCTAGAGCTATGCCAAACGGGCCAGTAAGGGCTTCAAACTGGAACAACAGAGCATGTTCTGGATTTTGATGAGTAAACAGATGATTGAGTGTTGTACATCAGGCTTAGCACTGCCTTAGGAATTGTTATCATTAGTTGAAAAACTAATGACACTATTATACTGACTCAGTTCTGATTCTGCTTTCTGAAATAGAGGACAATGACTACACCTTACCTAATTTACTTTACCAATCATGCTTTATGTATGCACTTTCAGTTCTTGCGAATGTGCTACATATTATATCAGCACAATAGTTTCCTAATTCTTTTAATATATGTTTTCTTAGGTGAGAGGATTTGTTCTTATCTCTAGAATGTCATATTCCTTTCTGACAACAGAAATAAATTTCTTATTTCCTGAATGTGCTTTATGGAATAGGCATGCAGTAGGAAGGCAAGGTCAAGTTTTATTAGACCTGAAATCATCAGCATTTGATCCAAAAGAGAAAATGTGGACAAAATTCCCTCCTGAAGGCTCAAAATATACCCCTCCACACAATTCTTGTGATTTCAAATGGAAGGATTACTGCCCAAAGGTGTTCCGGTTGGTCATCGCTCCCATAATAAAGATGCATAGTATATGTTCTTAATCATTTCATGGCGTTATGTTCATCAACGTATACATCTGTTCAATTGCAGGACACTCCGTAAGCTGTTCAAGGTTGACCCAGCTGACTATATGTTGTCCCTCTGTGGAGATGATGCTCTTCGTGAGCTCTCATCCCCTGGCAAGAGTGGAAGCTTCTTTTACTTGACGAATGATGATCGTTACATGATAAAAACAATGAAGAAAGCTGAAGTGAAGGTATATCTCTTGCTGTCTTTTTCCAAATGCTTTCTATGCTTCTCATATATGCAGAAGTTTTTCTGAATGCATTATTACCTATTACCACACAGATGCTTCTGAGGATGCTTCAAGCTTACTACAATCATGTCCGTGCATTTGAGGATACCTTAGTGACAAAGTTCTTTGGCCTACATTGTGTGAAGTCTGGAGCACACCAGAAGAAGGTTAGAAAACTATATTATTGCCTGTAGCCTCCTCGTCACTTATCCTTGCTATTATTATTGTATTTTTCCTTTTTTTGGAGACGGATAGCAGGAACTATTATTCACTAAAGAGAAAATATAGTTTTACCAAGTTACAAAACTGATAGCAACTGGATTCATCAGGAACACTGACACCTAAACACCGAAAACACACAATTTTACATACCAATGCATCATACTTGTCATTGTCAAACAGAACATGTTAGTATTGAAACATCATTTATTTGGCTGACTTTATGTGTCCTTCGTACTTACTTCTCAGGTTCGTTTTGTGATAATGGGAAATTTGTTCTGCTCTGATCATACTATCCATAGGCGATTTGATCTGAAAGGATCATCTCTTGGCCGTATAACTGACAAGCCACCAGCAGAGATTGATGAGTATACAACTCTGAAAGACCTTGATCTTAACTTTATCTTTCGGTTACAGAAACATTGGTACCAAGAGTTTCAAAGGTGTGAATATCTTATGCCTGATTCTCATGTCATTATGACCTAAGGAGTGGTCAGTAACCTTGTTACTTTCACCCTTGTGCTAATGTAGATGTTAAATATCTTAAAGCAGGCAAGTGGACAAGGACTGTGAGTTCCTCGAGCAGGAGAAGATTATGGATTACAGTCTATTGGTGGGTGTACATTTTAGAGGTAAGGAAGACATATCTGCATCTGCAGACGGCAGATTTGTTGAAAGCTAAAATCCTGACTTTGTTATGTGCATTCATTGAAGGTGCCATTGACATTGATGGTGACAAACCTGCAACACCTCGCGTTTCAAGATGGGACAGGGATCATTTTCGTTCTGATCCAAATAGGTAATGATTCTAGTAAAATCCTAGTTATAGATTCCTAATTAGTCATTTTGTGTTTGCTTAAAAAAAAAGTCACTTTGCGTACCAGAACCCAGGTTGTCATTGGGTTAACTCGTTCTTCAGCCTTCTAATGTGATAATTGGTACTCAAACTTGTTCATGCATTCTAACAGTAATTTTATTAATTTTCTTTGGCTGAGCAGGTGGTCAAAAATTAAACTTGGCGCAAACATGCTGTCAAGAGCTGAACTAACAGTCCGAAAGAAGGATAGTGATGTTTTTGGAGAACCAACTGGGGAGTACTGTGATGTTATCTTATACTTTGGGATTATAGACATACTTCAAGACTATGATATTGGCAAAAGGCTAGAGCATGCCTACAAATCTTTTCAATACGATTCAACATCCATTTCAGCGGTTGATCCAAAACAGTACTCCAGGCGCTTCAAAGATTTCATATACAAAGCTTTCCAAGAAGATAAAGTAGATAGCTGAAATGGTTTTGAGACACTGCAACTGATATCGTCTGTAACTTCAAAATATGAAAGATCAAGCTGAGGACAGTGCATTGTGACATTTGATTGACAGGCTTGTACATTATCAGTTTGCTGCACCTTACAGGAATTCAGCAGCTTCTTAGGAAGGCGTCAGGATGATTGGGTCTCTGGAGCATCTGGTGGTCCCACAGTTTCCAGGAATCAGACTGGCTGTCATGTAAATATAAAGCAACGTGCACAGATACGGAGTTCAGTCATTCACAAAAAGTAGGAAATGTAACTTGCAGAATCAAATTATACATAGAAACATGTAATGGAATGTGCCGAGCCTTTCAGGGGTTGTAAATGTTATTTGTCTCAGGATACCATTCTTGTCTTGTCTCGGTACTTTTCAATAGATTGGGGGGCAAGGGGGAGTTTTCCGATTCCCAGATTTGCACTTTCTCTTCTTTTCTTTTCTTCCTTTCTTTCTTTCTTTTTTTTAACAAAGCACGACGAGGGCTTATTTGATTGATAGAGGCACTTCACACTTGGAGAATGTTGTCAGTCCAAAATCCTAATTCGACTTCGTTAACTGTTTTTTCCCTGGATGCCAGAGAACTACATGTCACTGCATTAAAGATTAAACCTCTATCTTTGTCATCCATTGATCTGAATGTATCCATTCAGTTATCTGAATACTTAAAAGAGAGAGGTGCGTTGATGGTGATTCTAATAAATGTAAGAGTAAGAAGAAAGCAAGGTTCATTATATCAGTTAATTTGAAGGTGGAATATAATCTGCTGAGAAATCATGTCTTTGGCCTTTCCTATACACTGCTGTGGTGGACCAGCTCGATGCAGCTCACAGCTGAGGCATCAAACGCATCAGTTTCTGGTATTCCTTGAGGGTCAGCTTGTGATGATCGCCATCTGCTTCGTATGTTAGTTTCTGTTTTTTTTTAAAAAAAAATAATGAACATAAGTATTTCGGCCTCCAACATCCACATCCACAAATGATTATAGTCGTTCAATACAAACTCACAGTACTTAGACCATACTTCACCATAGGGTGATACAAAATTTAAGACACAAGAATAAGAAACTAGACTTAAGCTTTAATCCTAATTCGGTTTGCCAACCAAACTTTGAGGAACTCCAGCACCAAGGCCCCGTTCGCGTGCCCTTAAACCCGGCTTGATCCGCTTATTTTTTCATCCGGAACAGTGTTTTTCTCTCTCAAATTCCTCCAACATTCCTCCAAACCATCCAGATTCCTCCAGAATTCAGACAAGCGAACAGGCCCTAACAATCAACTGAGGTCCTCGAGTGACACGTGTGGTACAACTTGAACGAACTTGAAGCTTGGCGTGGAAGATCTATGGCAGGTTCCCCTGACCTACACATCCAAACTATCCCCTCCTTCCGGCGGCAAAAAAACAAGAACCTGGCTAGCGTTTCAGTGATAAGGAGCAAGGACAACGCCGAGTGCCTCCGGTGAAGGCCCTCAAGACCCTGGGGGAGTCAACACATCACCTAGCTTATCTCGACCATCAGTAACCAAGGGCATCGGTGAGCTATGCCTACCCGTCATCACCCATTCACGCCTTGGGCCTCCACATGTTTACGTGTCTTTGGCACGAATCTCCTAGACGACGCCTCTAGGGAGAGAGATGACATCGAGCATGCGAGGACCCGCCCAAGCCAGCTTAAGCAAATTAACCTCAGTAATCCCTAGAGCTACCTTCCGCACACTATACTAGCACAAGTCACAGGACCAAGTTGCATAAATACACACATGACCACCATAAACTCAATATTCAATCTTATGAAGAAACTACACAAATCAGCGAAAGTATACATGAAAGATATTATATATCAAGTTAATAAATCTACTTTCTAATTTGAGACTCATACCTAACCTAAATGTGATTTGTGAGAGCTATGCTACCATCTTTCGCCTAGGTTGAGAGCCCTACGTTGCGATTTTAGTTTCTAGCTAATAACCCGTGGGCGCCTTTGAGCGCGAGCATCACCACAATAAGCTCAATTTTAATCTATTTTTAATTAATATTTTTAAAAATAATCTACTCAAAAACTATTTTTAATCTAACATGTTTGGTCGTGCCAGCCCGTGTGCCATGACCAAATCATGCCATATGCATTGGTGACAACTAACAAGGGCTTCTCATGCTGCCACTGCGGATTCGATCCGGAAGGTCCTTTAGCGCGACAAGTCGATTTTATTGCCACTCTGATTGGCGCGGCAGAAGGTGTGCCAAGCCAAAACTCATTGCACGATTAATTTTTCTATCCATCACAACAAATTATTTATCAAGATGAATTTGATCTCATAAAACTCAACAAATATATTGTACATGGTGTAGATAAACCATTTTAGGGACTTAAACAAGCCCAAGTTTCCTAGGTTTTGAAATATTTGATTTCAAAATAGGCCATGTGTTATAGTTTTTGAGTGTTTCTTAGGAGAAACAATTTCAGTTGATCTCTTTCTCCACTTAAATTCAATTAATAAAAGAGGTGCCCAAGAAATTCCCAAACTTAACTATAAGATGTACTCAAATTTGATTAACATCATGCCATAATTATATAAATCATAATGTGTGGTTCTACCATTTTGCTAACATGTACAATGTCATCTTTTGCATATTTTAAGTCTGGTAGAATCATGCAAAATCCAAGTCAAGGATTCTCTAGTAAGCTGGTTTAGTGTGACGTGCGTGGCTGTAGGTGCGGCACGTGGTGGAGGAGACGAACCCGGGAGAGCACACACAGCTCGGCGGGGCGGGCAATTATGCGAGCGGGTCGCGCCGAGCTCGGCGTCGTGGCGGAGCAAAACTTTTACATTTGAAATACTGCGTGGGAGGAGAGACAAGAAACTTTGAAAGGATTTGCGGGGGATATTTCCGTTCGGGTTCTCTGGATGGGGACAACCCGGGACGCACACAGCGGCATTGCCGAGAGGAGGTGCGCGAGCTCGGCGTCGTGGCGCAAAACTTGGAGGACGAAGACGACGACGATTTGCGGGGGCGCGCGGTCGCGATGGGGACGGTGAGGCATTGCCGAGAGGAGGCGCTTTTGGCGATGGACGACGACGGGGGGCCGCCGACGGTCGCGCCGGCGACGGGGGGGCCCTACGCCGGCGCGCGGCGTAGGTCGCCGCGGTAGGTCGCGCGGGCCGCGGCGGCAGGGCGAGACTATAGCCAAGGGCCACAAGAACTACGAGCTCATGCTCAACCTGCAGCTCGGCATCAGGTAGGTGCCGACTTTACCTGGCCGTGTGTCTCATTTCTTCATCTCAAATGGTTGTGGTTGTGGTTCTGGCTGATGATCCCTTCCAAAGCAAAAAACGCTTGGTTCACCACATTTATCCGGTAATTGATGACCTCTGTTGATGCAATGTGTGCTTAAATCATTGGGCATTTATTCTCTCATATTATGCCATTGTCATCATAAATCTGTTGATTTTTAGTATTTGGTTGGGATTCGTTCTTATCGTCATTGGAGATTAGATCATCGTGGTCCTATATGTAAAAGCTGCAAGATTTTTCCTTTTTAATGAGAACCTATGATTGCTGAACACAGCAGGAGCTGTTCTTGAACAATGCCAAGCGATGAATTGATGAATGGTTTGTTTTCTCCCCTCCAGCCATGCTATGAGTTTTTTTTTTTTAACATGAGATTTCAAGACGATCACCTAGTCTAATGCGATGTTTTTCAATGTTTTTTTAACGAACATGTTTTTGCTACGATTGAGCTTTATAATAACGGTGGCTAATGTCCTGGAAATGATGACATAGAAAGGTCTACCCCTGCTATTGCATTCGAAGGGCATGGCTGGTAGTATTATGCAAACACCGTGTGCCTTTAGACTGCAATTAATCGGCAGAAATGAATGCAGAGTTGCAGACAAGTATTTCTACGCTTGGCACATGATCTTTGGTTGCACGCCCAAGCTTGGCAAGTCACTTTTACAATGCGAGGCACCACTCATTTTTCTATCATATAAAGTTGAAAGCATAAGAGTTTAACAGATTGCACAGGGGAAGTTGAAAGCATAAGGAGACATAAGAGCTTTGCAGATTGTATGGAGAAAGTCCAGGGACATAAGAGTTTGGCAGATTGTATGGGAACCTAAAGAGTTTAACAGATATACACAGGATTGGCTTTTCTGCATTCTAGTTTTCAACAGCTTAATTTTTCGCTGGATAGTAGTCAGCATTTCAAACTCTTCTGGCATGAAGAGTTTTTGCCATAAGTAGTTTATTTATCATGTACCATGTACAGATGCAATTGTACTCCTGAAATTAAGAATGCCATAAGCCTTTTAATACATGAATATATGAATATAAATATGTTTATGCCCCACTCATCTTGTCTGCATGACAGGCACGCAGTAGGAAAGCAAGGTCCAATTACGCTTGATCTTAAGTCATCAGCTTTTGACCCGAAGGAGAAAGTATGGACAAGGTTCCCTCCGGAAGGCTCAAAATACACCCCTCCACACAGTTCGTGTGATTTCAAATGGAAGGATTACTGCCCGCAAGTATTCCGGTAGGTTATCACTCCCATCCATAATATATATGTTACACTTTGACTATCGTGTCATGCATGTTCATTGGCAGTTTAACTTAATTTGTTCTGAACTGAATCGTAGGACATTGCGCAAGTTGTTCAAGGTTGATGCCGCAGACTATATGCTCTCTCTTTGTGGAGACCAGGCTCTCCGAGAGCTCTCATCTCCTGGTAAGAGTGGAAGCTTCTTTTATCTCACAAGCAATGACCAGTACATGATAAAGACGATGAAGAAATCTGAAGTGAAGGTTTGTGTGTTTTCTTGTCCAAGTACTTCCTTGACTCCATAGTCCATAGGTCATCAGCGGCTTTGTTGTTAATCAACTGAACATTTGTTATCATAATATCATATAGATATTTCTGAAGATGCTTCGAGCTTATTATAATCATGTCAGATCATTTGAGAACACTCTCGTTACAAAGTTTTTTGGTCTTCACTGTGTCAAATTAGCTGGAGCTAACCAAAAGAAGGTCAGAAACGAGTATATATCTATTTATCATGGTATAACTAGTTAGCTGTGATGATTACGATATCATGGAAACTAGTTGGCTGAATCCTGATTCTCTTTTCTGTCTGTACTATCAACCAGGTTCGTTTTGTCATAATGGGAAATCTATTCTGCTCCGATTACTCTATTCATAGGCGATTTGACCTGAAAGGTTCATCCCTTGGACGTACAACTGATAAGCCACAGACAGAGATTGATGAGTACACTACTCTGAAGGATCTTGATCTCAACTTTATATTTCGATTGCAAAAACATTGGTACCAAGAGTTCCAAAGGTGAGTGATGCTAGAGCTGATAAGAAACCATTAAAAATTATACATATTAACGTAAAGGTTAAATCTGTTGAAGCAGACAAGTCGACAGGGACTGCGAGTTTCTGGAGCAGGAAAATATCATGGATTATAGTCTTCTGGTTGGTGTACATTTTAGGGATACTAGGGATAGGCTATTGACCGGAGGTTGGTTGAAATGAAAACTATTTTAATATTTTTTACATGGTTATCATGTACGTAACAAGGTGCATTACCGCATTACTTGAAGGTTCATTTGATAGTGACAGCAGCAGAGGATCGTCGCCTCACTTGTCTAGAGGAGATACGGATCCAAACAGGTAAAACGGGACACTCAATATGCTTCGTTTTGGTAAAACAGGATACCAATCAAAACGCTTGCAGCTTGCTAGATCAGGGATGAGGGGGGAGGGGACAAATTATACCATATAATTTGCTGAAATTTTTCTGACAGATCCCAACCGTATGTCAAAACATGGAATCCAACATTTTTTTCATTCCCTTCATCTGTGCTGGCTCTAGTTGCAAATTTTGGATGAATTGATGCTTTCTAATGTTAATGTAACAAAGCTCTTTTTGGACAGGTTAGCCAAGATAAAACTTGGGTCAAACATGCCGACAAGAGCTGAACGGACAATAAGAAAGAGTGACTGTGAAGTGCAGATTATGGGAGAGCCTACCGGGGAGTTCTACGATGTCATACTATATTTTGGGATCATAGACATACTCCAAGATTACGATATCAGTAAAAAGCTTGAGCATGCGTACAAGTCTTTCCAATATGACCCAACATCCATTTCGGCAGTCGATCCAAAGCAGTACTCGAGACGCTTCAGAGATTTCGTATTCAAAGCGTTCCAAGAAGACAAGTTCGATTTGTGAAGACAAATGGGAGCTTGGGAGTGGGAGCTACCGTTGCCGCTGACACAGATAACCAGTGTTGAAATGTAGAGACATCCATGGCACTGCTCGCATCGCGTTGCATTGCAAGCAGAGCTTTTCTACTTCCACACAGACTGCAGCGCACGACAGAAGCTTCAGAAGAAGTCGTCAAATTGATGAAGCCCCTGCCTGCGGACTCTGATGAGGGATTCAGCTGGCACTCATGTAGAGAAATAAGGCTCCAATTCGAGATGTCGGTGCGTTTCAATAAGCAGGTTCAACAGTATTTTTCATAAAATAGTCATTTGGCAAACTGCTCTCGCGCAGCTGCATTTCTACAGCTGCTATGTCACACTGCACCGTGTGGTGTGGCATAGCGCGGCGATGGCAAGCTATGCCTAAGAAAAAGTATACATGCATATAGAAATCGCTGATATTAGTGTAGAAGCTGACAACCTACAGAGAAATTTGTAATGACAGTTCAGGGATGTAAATCTTTTTACGAGGCAACAGGTCACAGTTCTTATTATCTGGTAGTGCTAGACTGCTAGTAGTGTGCATTGAATATATTTTCTGATGGAATTGTCTTGGGTTGGATGATTTCAACCCACAATATGCATTGTTTCGGCTACTATCTCAGATCAGTTCAATTGTAAGTCCATCCAGATTAGCTCCAAGTCAAAGTTTTCTATTTTCAACTACAGCTCCAACTACACTCCAGTCCGCGAGTCAAACGTTCAGTGTGGCGGAGGGAAATAAATTGGATGGACCCTGGATCCATTAGCTCCTCCATGCGCCCCCATCACGGATGGTTGACACGTGACCTACTAAGAAGATCTCGGTAAGGGCCCGCTCGGTTACAGTAGAATCAGCCCAGGAATTGATCCAACTGATGAAGTTTATATAAATTTAGCTAGCATTCCAGCCAAGAATTTTTCCAGGTGATCATTCCAGGTGAAACGAACAAGGCCTGAGGGATTGCGCAGGCAGAGAGGGGCAGTGTGAAGATTGAAACGAACATTTCGGACAGTCTTGTTCTAAAATTTCTATTAATAACTGTACACATTCTTTTCCTATTCAGAAGAATATGAACTGCATAGAAATTGGCTGGAAAGCCTGGCAGACAAGCGACACAGAACTGAATCAAGCCACAAGCGATGGGCACTAATTGCAAGGATAAAACACAGCCTCAAGCCTACCTCGAATTATTTATAAACTCATGCTGGGTTCTCATTTGATCCCAGTTTTCCTCATCCTTTGCACTAGGCATGAATCAAACGGCCATACAAGTAGTCAACCTATCCAATTTCTATGAAAAGACGCACAAAATACATATACACCGCCACAACACTGGAAAAACTGTCTAAAAGGCACCTCCATGACACAACATTACATACAAAAGACTATCACACATCCCACTTGAGCTATTCTCGCGCGACACAAAAGCAAAAACATATTGAAGAACAAAATACATTTACACTCGCATATGCAGTTTTCTACAATTGCCAGGCGGGGAGAAAAGAACCCTACTGAAGAATTTACAATCATGAAATTGAATGGTCATCCTACCTTGGGTGGTTCCAAGGAGATGGTGGCTTGTATGGAAAACCCTGAGGAGCAGATCCACGTCCTAAATCAAGACTATGAAGTTGTTCCATCAGTTGCGACCTTCGCTCCTTGAAGAAATCTAGTCTAGTTGTTAGTTCTACCAAAGTGGAGGATGTGACCATTGGTTGCCTCCCAAATTCAATGCCCTAACATACAAAAATATAAATCATCTTAGAAGCTACAGCAGCATATTTAACAACAAAGCACTGCAAGTCTCGCTTACCTCTGCTAACTTTGGGACATTGATGGACACAGAGGTGTTCTCTGTTGACATACTTGTTGAGGCTTCTGTGCCTCTTGATTCGCTTGAGGAGGCATCAAATGAAAGCTTTCGTGTGAGTGGCCTCGAAGAACCATAAGGTAGCACATGCTGCTTGATGTTTCTCCATTGTGACGACTCCACCGAACTCTCCTGCAGACATGATTCAATGTAAGTATTGCTTGATGCAGTATAGAATCCACCAACTTTTCATCAGATTTAAATGGGAATGCCACACATAACCAGTCATTTTAGTGTATAAAATTTCCAATGTAGTTGATAATGGATGGACATGTAGACTAACGTGTTATGAACACCGAGATAAAGCTCCAAAAAATTTCTCCATTTTTTTACTATGACAAACTCAACTTTAGCACATGGAAATTTTGCAGTAAATATTAAACCTCTTGACTAAAGGTGTCCATTTTACCAGAACACTGCAGACCTGCGGAAGTTAATTTTGAAATTATAAGCATGAAACTCCAACTGCTGCTTCTGTGTAATTTGGTCACTAACAGCTTTAGTCAGTAATCAAGGCATGACACTCAGGTATTCATTTTCTATCACTTAATTTTTGCTTACCAGCTGGACAGGTTTTAATTTTCTAATTATACCAGCCATGAACAATAAGAGTACCATTATATTGCAAAACTGAAAGTTTGTAATCAACATAGCATTTCAAAAGAGAACTGAATCATGCAAGCTAACAAGCCAAGCTCTAGGAATTGGAATTTCAACAGGTTTCAACTTAAATACGAATATTGTGTAAAAAAGAATTTCATAACATACCTCATTTCTCTGCTTCTCTTGATTGCAGAAAGCAAGGTTCATATCAAATCCTTGTTGAACAAAGTTTCTGGTAGATCAAAAGTACCATGTCAAAATCTGGGGAACATGGGATACACATCACATGTCTAGAAGCATTGACCTGCTAATTGCAAATGCAAGAATAGTCTAATCCAGTGACATAGCGCATACAGTAGAATCTACAATACAACTTACAACCAAGTTTAGCATGATTCTCTGATATTTAAGAAATGAATTCCCTTGAATGGCTTAGAACTACAGACAAATGCCCTTGGATTCAGACAGTTGCAAGAAACCAAATTCCAACATCACCCAAGATCTAGAAACATCCCAAAGGAAAGAATTTGTATCTTACTGCTGTGAGAAGTGACCAGGAAGGCGGTGATGACGATCATTTGCATCCACTACAGAGCCATACTGGTGTTTATGTTGTTGATTGAGTTGGAGGTGAAGCTCTGCAACCTTCTGTTTTAATCTTGCAACATCAGCTTCAGCGAGAGCAATCTCCTCAAGCTCTGCCCTTGTCTAAAGTACACAGGGAAGAAAATGAGACTCAATAAAACAAAGCCAGTAAGTGTAGGTATGGTAGAAGGTAGTAAGGTACCTTCACATCCATCGAGCGAGCACTTGAAAACTGTCCAGAAGACATGCTCAAGCCAACCTCCAATGCAGCTCGCAGATCCCTCTCAGCTTGTAGCTGTTCTTGCAACCTCGAGACCTACAATTATAACAGTTGTAGAAAGTACTATTATAAAAGTTATAAAACCATGTACACATCTGGATTATTCAACAATAATATCAGCAGCAAAATAAAGGGGAAAGTACACATTTGACACCCCCAACTTTTGGATTATGTTCAGTTTAAGCCTTGAATTTAGCACGGGTAATACTTTTTGTCCCCTTGATTATTGAGTTGTGTGCGATTCAAACCTTCCATATAGCTAGCTTATAGGTTACAGTTACTGACAGATAAAGGACCGTCTATAATTTCCATCTATAGGCAGGACCACCCCAGTCTAGCAGGGACACAGATTTGCAAGGCTATGCTTCCTCAGACTGTCATCCCCCCACCAAAAAGAAATAAGGTAAACTTCTTTCCATTCTTGCCTAGCGACCAAGATTTTCACACTTGTGTCTAGGCGGCAAAATTTCGTATAGAACGCTAATCCAAAAGCAGGTTTCCTAGTGAGACGCAAGAGAGTTCTGTAGTGTTCTTGCTTCTCTCCTCCATGTGCCCCCCCCCCCCCCCCGCCCCCTTCTTTTATGTTGTAACCTCATCGCGAGATCTTTCGGGCCTAGAAATAGGCCATGTAACTTGAATTTCCTTTTCTACCTAAATAGAGAGGCAGAGCTCCTACCGTTTTTCTTCTTTGACAGAAAAAAAAAAGTTCAACAGAGGAAGAGTCTTAGTCAAAGAGGTTTCCAGTTTCCTCAATCTTTCTCATGCAAAACTGTGTGCATGAGATTTTCATCTCGCAAAGCACCTAAGTGAAAAGAAAGAACACATCTCCTTCCTTTTTTATTACCTTTTCTTGCATGTGTACAAGGCCCAATCCATTCTTTTCAAAAACGAATTTTGAAGAACTACTAATCCTTAAAACTTTTCAAGGAATCCTTCATTAGTGGATGTGAATTCTTTTTCAGCTCTTTCAACCTTGGTATCACAGACACTAATTATACAATAGGTATAGGGTGTTACAAAACTATTTAAAAAAGCAAATTAAAGCCAACAGGAGAATATAATGACATCCACCAACACATCTCCCAACAAACCAGTAGCAAGTTCATAGTAAAAGCTCTTGACAGTTTGAATAACATGCTCCAGAGATGGGGGACTATACCTAGAAATCCAAGGTAAACAGGACATCCCAGGGGCTAAGGTACCAAAGTTATACTCTGTTCCAAATTATAAGTCATTATGGCTTTTCTAGATACATAGTTTTTGCTATGCACCTAGATATACATGATGTCTAGATACATAGTAACAGCTATGTATCTAGAAAAGCCAGAACCACTTACAATTTGGAATAGAGTGCTTTCCTTCTTAAAAGTTTCTAAAAAACAAACCATGGATAAGCAAAACTGACAAGACAAGGAAATGGAGCATACATCCTGTTCCAAAGCCAATCTGCGTTCATGTAGCGCTTGTTTTCTTCTTTCCAAACTCGCCTGTAGAATTGCATTCCCTCTAGCCTGAGAGGCACTTACTCTATTAGACTACAGGAAACCACTAGATCAAGGTTAATGAGCACATATGTGCATTCTTCCCCTACCTCTTTGGCAATTCTGTTTTGCAGATCATTCTTCGCAATCTCGAGCCTTTGAA